TAACTCTTTGTATTCTTCCTGTCTTCTTTTGATGCTTTGTGAGTCATTTAATATTTTACCTTGACCAAACCACTAAACCAATGCTTTGGAGTAAATTCTGACTCATAGTGACCTTGTGGGGCAGAGTAGAACTGTTCTATTCAGTTTCTGAGGCTATAAATCTTTTTTTTTAAGTTTTATTGGTTTTATTCATTCCCACATTATATAATTCAGTAGTCTCATTCACATTTATGTAATTCAATAGTTCAACCATAACAAGAAGAGCTGTACAATCTTTAAGCGGCTTGGGGGTCAGCAGTCATGGGGCTGACCAGTGTACCACCAGGGCTTCTGCTAGCACAGTTGCTGTTATCAAGTTGTTTTTGACTCTTAGCCACTTTAGGAGCGAAACGCTGACCTGTCCTGTCCCGTCTCCACATCTTCGCTGCCTGCGCCCACTGCTGTGGCCACTGAGCACGTGACTCTCGACTGTTCTGAGGGCTTCCTCTCTTTCACGCGCGGATTACTTTAGCAAGCATGACGCCCTTCTTCAGGGGCTGGTCCCTGCCGGTATCACGTTTAAAGTATATGAGATAAACTGTCGCCAACCCCACTTGTTTTGTTTGTTTTGATTTTCAGTTTTATTTATTTATTTATTAAAAGATCATTTTATTGGGAGCTCTTACAGCTCTTGTAACAATCCATGCATCAATTGTATCAAGCATATTTGTACATATGCTGTCATCATCATTTTCTACACATTTACTTTCTATTTGAGCCCTTGGTTTCAGCTCCTCCTTTTTCCCTCCCTCCCCTCTCCCACCCTCATGACCCCTTGATAAAATATAAATTATTATTTTCATATCTTACACTGATTGCTGTCTCCTTTCCCCCACAGTTTCTGTTGTTTGTTCCTTGGAGGATGTGGGTGAGTAGTTTTGTGCCGATCACTGTGATCGGTTCGCCCTTTCACCCCTCCTCTCCCCACCTTCCCTCTACCCTCCTGGTATCAATACTCCCATTCCTGCTCCTGGATTCCATGTGTCATGGGCTCTTATCTCATATTTATACCTCTGTACATGCTCCGGTCTAGCCCACAGTGAAAGGCAGGACTGGGGTCATGATAGTGGGGAGTGAGGAAGCCTCAAGGAACCAGAGGAATATTGTGTGCTTCGTTTGGGCTATCCTGGGTCATGGTTGACTCATCCTTATCTTGTGACCCTTCTGTGAGGGAATGTCCCATTGCCTACAGATGGGTTTAGGGTCTCTGCTCCCACCCCCCTCATTC